GTAGTAGTACGTACGTACGTACTACTCGTACTACTACTACACACACAATATATATATATATATATATATATATATATATATATATATATATATACGTATATATATATTTATATCTACATATATATCTATATATATATATATATGTATATACTATAGATAATAGGCATGTTGCTTATAGACAGAAATAGTCATATAGCGTACTGACTTAGACGCACACATATATATATACATACCATGTACATAGAAACCGTGATATGTATGAACATACTGACACGATCAAACGTATATCCACGTACTCAACGCACTCACGTGTTCTGCTGTTCAGGCAATGGATCGTGTGTACCGGATTGGGCAAACGCGCGATGTGCGTGTGCTGCGGTTTGTGCTGGAAGACTCTATTGAAGAGAAGATACTTGACTTACAGGAGACCAAGCGGTGAGTCGGTGGGCTGAGTCGGTGGGCTGGTCCGTGCCTGTTCTCTTATGTGTATATTGAGATGTGTATGTATGTATGTATTGGTGAATATGTATCTGTGGGTCCATCCCTATATCTATACTAGTACACTATGTAGGTATCTATACAAACATTCCTTCCTGTCCCCTTGTCCACGTTCTAGGGTTTTAGGGTCTGAACCATGTCCTTGTCCATATTTACCCTCTCTCATCTCGTGCACAGTGTTCTTAGTACCGGGGCACTCAACAAACTCTCAGCCGAAGAAACTCGCAAGCTCTTAGTCACCCAACTACGCTCACTCTTCTCTGCCGAGGCCAAGATCATCGCCGACTGAAGTGGTCTGACCACTATCTATAGCGGATCGCTCTCACACGTGTATATACACACACTTGTCACACATGTGCATACAAACACTTGCCTCACACGGCACGTGCGTGTGCATGTGCATGTGCGTGTGTGTGTGTGTGTAAGCGAAGGTCTGTGTGTGATAGACGTCGCGTGGGCGTTTAGTAGTCCTGCCCTGCAGCATGCAATGCGAACTTGTGCTATGGGCAACAGCGGCAAATTGGCACAGAGCGCCGCATCTCTCGGTTGCCGCAGAACTGCACAACCAAACGCGTCTGTGCTGCAAACATTAGTAAAGGAACAAACCAAAGCTATAGGCGCATGCATATGCGGCTACGCTGATGATATATACACTTAACAACCGAAAGAGTCTGTGCTGCAAACATTAGTAAAGGAATAAACCAAAGCTATAGGCACATGCATATGTGGCTACGCTGATGATATATCCAGTTGACACCAAAAGAGTCTGTGCTGCAAACAACTATCTGTGTATATTGGACTATGAATATCTGTGACTATCTATATATTGGGCCATGAATGTCTGTGACTATCTGTATATACTGACTATAAATATCTGTGACTATCTCTATATATACCGACTATTATTATCTGCGACTATCTCTGTATATTGGACCATGAATGTCTGAGACTATCTCTATATATTGGACCATGAATGTCTGTGACTGCCTGTATATACTGACTATAAGTATCTGTGACTATCTCTATATATTGGACCATGAATGTCCGTGACTATTTGCATATATCGATTATAAATATCTGTGAACTAAATGTAGGTATTACTGAAGGTAGCCAAATAAAAAATAGGAAGTGAGAAAGTTTTTTTTGTCATTGTGTGTTAAAGGAAGCTTATCATGTGTAAAGTGAAGCACCTAGAATAGGCTTCAGCTTTTGCAGCCACATTCCATTGAGCTTCAACCTCTCCGTGAGTGTTAATAATTAGGGCCGCTCGTTGGTCTGTGCTGTCGGTTTTGTTTCGGCCTGGGGCTGTCCTGTCGACGATCACCACCATCAAACCCACACTGAACACTGTTGCACTCCACATCACACTCTCCGTCCGACAGCCACTCACGTGCACATCGCCGACCACACACGGCACGAGAACCCACTCCAAGCTCAGTCTGACAGTCTCCGTTGTCCCAATTACAGCTCTGGTTGTTGCATTCCTGGTCACATTCCGAGTCGCCCAGCCATGCGGTGGCACACATTCGGTCGCATCTGTCGACGGGTGCTGTGATCTTCTCGCACTCCGCAGACACCAGTATACCATTGCTGATTTCCGGTACACATACTTCGTTGTCATGACAACCCTTGCCGCTTGCCCCGCATCTCTCGTAGCTCAAATGGAGCATGCGCTGATAGGCATTCCCAAACTCTTTCGCGAACAAACTGTCGTCTCTAGCGAATGCATGCGCATGAGAGCCCATACCTCTGTGTCGCAGCATCCACATGTCTGACGGCAGACGCAGCAGAGGTGTGCCACCATCTGTGCACGGCGAGTCTGCTGCATGGACATTCATCGATTCAAAGTCCAGCTCACAGCCACGCATGCCCTGCATTTTCACGTTAACAACGCTTGCGCCTCTTTTGGAATCACTGGCCATGTCATTGAATCTCGCGCTTGCCCCGTCCCGTAGGCCAGTCAGGTTCGCTGCCAATAGTGAAAGTGATCGTATCGTCGTCAAAGGTGGTCAGAGTATACCAAGTCCACTCCTCATCCACCAAATCACGGAAGAAATCGGGTCCCGCCCAACTCAGCGGTCTGTCACTGAACGATCCTGCATAGCAAGTGCACACCGCATGCGCTGCGCCCAAACTATGGGCCCCACCGATCAGTGCAACAAACTCTGCTGTGGAAAAGCCGTACTCGTCTGTGAACTTCTGGAGTGGATTTACCTGGGCATTGGGCAGGTCACTTGGACCGCCAGCGTGCGAGGCATCCAGGTCAAAGCGACCGCCTTTCACGCTGATGAGATCCATACGCGGAAAGTCCATGGATTTCAACGCCAGGGCGCCGGCTATGGCAGTGGTGTCTGCGAACGATATTTTGTTGCGTCTCGCAAACACTTTGATCACATCTGTGGCGATGTCAATACACGCATTCCCAGATTTCTCCAACACCTTGTTATGCTGGAGAGTGCCTCCATTGATACCGCCTTTGTTGAATTTGTGATCGAACGTACCGGCTGCATGAAACGAGGTGCGCAGAAGCACAGGTCCAAAGCCTCGGTACTCATCGTGTCTGTGTGAGTCGTCCCCTCCATTGAGGAAACTAGTGATATCATCCGTGAGATTATCATAGTGTGCTTGTTTACTAGAGTCCAATTTACTGTACCAAGCCTGGTTGTATATGTCGTTGCCGGAAATTGCCGATATACAACAGAGTATTAGAACAATTTTGAGTCGCATGGTACCAGTCATGTTGTTGTAAGTAGGGCAAGCTGTCAATCAAGTGTTAATTTTGAAGGTTGCAATGTGTCTGCATCCGGCATACAGATTCTTATTTTATAATACGTCTGCAATGTGGTCAATTTTATGTTCTGTACTAGAAACTACTGATGCTTTCACGATTTGTATTGGAACGTTTTCCAATTTCTACTACGTCATGACGCCCTGGAGATGTGTATATATGGGAGAACGGACAAGTACATGACCCCCTAGTAGAGAAGTGTAAAATATATGGGAGAACAGACAAGTCTCACGTAACTACGTCTAGGTTTTTATCGGTGGAAGATCCAACACAACGTCACACGTACGCGAATTTATGCACCGGGCACACATAGCTTTGACAAAGATCCAGACTTATAAGCCTTTGAAATAAATTCATTGTATGTATTTATTCCATCGGCATTCGACACTCCAAATTTCAAGCAAAATTTTTGAAATCTAGATGTGCGAGTGTTATGACTATTACCTAATTTGACCTTCAATATTTCAAGCTTCATACAGATTCCTTATTCTCATTCGCCAAATTTCAAATTGACTCTCTTTCATCATTTTTAACCCGTATATTTTGTTTTATCCCAGTCTGCAGTATTTTAATTGGTGCTCACTGTCACTGTGAGTCTGTGACTGCTGGTATCAGAATTGAGAATTCACTACATATTCACTATTCAGGCCATCCACTTTGACTCCAAACCCAACCCCAGGGGCAGGCATGTACGCAGTTCGGTTGGCACTATACCTTACATACCACCATAGCACCAGGTTACCAGTTGTCCAGTTATGGGCTATGTATGACGTATATATCTTTACAAGTTTTTATCTCTCTAGTCTCTCCAATTTTTTATATAGAGCTACTAGGTGCCTTTAGTATTTCTGAGATTACTTTTTCAGAGTGATGTCGATGTCTCACTTTGATATATATATCCTACTAAGTACTAACCAACAACAACATACGGATACAAATGCTATAATAACGGTATTGAGAAAGCACACTGTAGCGACCGCTTTAGCAAACAGATGGCCAACTGACGGGCGGTACCTGGATTTTCGATTTAGACATCGCTATGTCATCGCTGCTGCTAGTTGTGATGATTAGAGCAATCTACACGCTTCGTTCTGATTATGTATTCGAAACTCGGTGCGTGGCATGATGATATTACCATTGACTTATTTCAAGGTATAGATTTCTCAAGTATGATCAGACTGAGTTGTCTGCTCCCCAGGGATTCGAATGATCCCTGGCAGTCGTTCTTGTGCAGAAAAGTGCAGGTGATGCAAGTTCAACGCTATTGAATTTGAAAGTACTATTAGACCTCACAGTCCTGCTATGGAGGTATTCACATTTGTGCACTCGCTCTAGAGAGGTTTACGCCTGCACATACAGCAACAACCGTAAAGCAAAAATAAAACAAATGCCGTAAATAAGCGCGTCATTACCTAGAATTGATTCATATTGTATTTCGTATATATAGTTGCATATGTAGCCTCAATATTTGAAACGCCTAATAGTCATAGGAGGGTATTTGTGAAGTGTGAACGTATTAATTTTTTATAACTTTTTTCCGGATTGAAGAGTAAAAACGTATAACGTTTTTAATAAATTCTTGGCCAGCCCATAGGCCCATTACCCATGGCTCGGGTGTACAATTGATGACAACTGCCGGCAAACTATACTAAATAACAACTTGTCATCTCACTTATATATGGCACATACGTAGTGAGAATCATAGAATCGATAAATACTCATTCTATTGCTACACTACATATACACATACACATACACATACACAAAAACATACACACACACATACACACACATACACATACACCACACCAGCATGGGGAAACGCCAACACACTCAAGACAAACTATATGTCACTAAGACCGAATGGTCGACCCTATACGGCGGTAAAAATGCAGGGAAGCAAAAGACATTCAAACGCTTGCCATGGAATAGCTGTTGCCTATCGTTCCAACCTGTGCAGAACCCTGTGATAGACGCCAAAGGCAACATGTTCGACTTGATGTAAGCAAACGGTATCTGCTGGTTATGTGCAGCGAATTGTATTTGTGCGCCCTTGAGTGCGGCCTTTCTAGTTGATGCTTCTTGTGTGCGTGCGTGCGTGCATGCTGTTTAAGGTTCCTTTATTTACCAGTCACAGCGATTATCAGCTGCTTACATGTCAAAATGAATGGCATGTGATGTGTCATGTATGTGCGATTGCTGATAGCGAACGCTACAACCTGTATTCGACCAAGTAAGGGTCATATTCTATTTAATATGCCTCTATGATGAATTCGTTCGAATCAATTCGGTTGGTTGTGCCTAAGTGGAAGCACCGGCATTCCATTTGCTGTGTGACTATACTCACATCAGCTACAAATCAAACGTGCTGATGTGAGTACAACCGCAGGTATTCAGGGGACACCCTAAGCCAAATTGTGAATTTAGTATGCGCTCGTTCAGTATATATTTGTACGTATGTCATGTAGCAATCCAGCATGCACTTCAAGTGTGTGACCTCATAGGGTACACCTGTTGATTTTTGCGTTCATAACGAGGGCGGCCGATACTCCAGCAAAACTACACACTGAGGTCAATCAGAATATCCCATTTTGTCTGTAAGTACGTGAAGTTGTACTGATTTTGTGCCTAAAAACCTGATTCTGATTGTGTACATACATAATATGAATGTGTGTTTGCGGGTAGTTGTTAGTCTGAAGATTTCACTCTTGATACATACAGTATTGAAGTATTTAATTACATATTAGTATATATGTATGTAGTTATGTATCTATGGATGTATATAATTACATATTAGTATATATGTATGTAGTTATGTATCTATGGATGTATATGCATTATATATATATATATATATATATATATATATATGTATATATGTGTGTGTGTGTTATAGATGTATATGTACACATATATGTATATATACATATAGGTATACATACATATATATATATATGTGTGTGTGTGTGTGTGTGTGTGTGTGTGGTGTGTATGTGTGTGTGTGGGCGTGTGGGCGTGAGTGTATATATATATACGTATATACTTACATGTATATGTATATATATATATATATATATATAGTCTGTGCATTGTTTGAATCCGTCACATTCACACCAAAATATGTGAACCGCTAGAAACGGTCCACCCACCCACTCACCACTTCTTCATGGTGAATGCAGGTACATAGTCCCTTATCTCAAGCGCTACGGCACTAGTCCCATCACCGGAGAGCCGCTCAAACTTAAAGACCTCAAGAAAATCACTATCCACAAGAACACCCAGGGCAAGCCACACGACCCTGTTACGCTGAAGGAACTTATTGACAGCCAGAAGATAGTTGTGGTATGTGGTAGACATGTCACTGCAACTGTGGCGAGAGTGACCCTAGCGTTAAGACGTTTTCCGTACGTTGTGATAATTAGTGCGTGTGTGTGGCCCAATACGTTAACGCTCTCCCCTACTGTGAGTCATGGCCATGAGGTATGGTGTTGTTCTATGGGTAGTGAGGTCGTCTCAGATGAGCGTGCCCCTAGTGTTGAGACATTTTCCGTACGTTGTGATATTTAGTGAGTGTGTGTGGCCCAATACGTTAACGGTCTCCCTTAGTGTGAGTCATGGCCATGAGGTATAGTGTTGTTCTATGGGTGGTGAGGTCTTCTCAGATGAGGGTGCCCCTAGTGTTGAGACGTGTTCCGTACGTTGTGATAATTAGTGTGTGTGTGTGGCCCAATACGTTAACGCTCTCCCCTACTGTGAGTCATGGCCATGTGGTATGGTGTTGTTCTACGGGTGGTGAGGTCTTCTCAGATGAGGGTGCCCCTAGTGTTAAGACGTTTTCCGTACTTTGTGATAATTAGTGAATGTGTGTGGCCCAATACGTTAACGCTCTCCTCTACTGTGAGTCATGGCCATGTGGTATGGTGTTGTTCTATGGGTAGCGAGGTCTTTTCAGATGCCTTGTGGGGTTAGGTTGTCGTTTCTATTGCTTTTCGTGTGGTTTGTGATGTGCATCTCCACAATGACATCTCGAACGACAGCTATCATTCCACACACCGACTGTGTCTGCGCTATTTAGCATCACTTATCTGCCGCTTTCTTATCTCATGTGCTGTCTTCAGTTGATATGATCACTTGTACCATGTCTTCTGTTGGTATGATCTCTTACTCATATTTCATTTCGGACGTGTGCCGTTTCTGCTTGCTGAGCAGCCCCTATTGTCTTGGCGTATTCGGACGTCTACCGTTCACGCTAATCCCACCTACGTTATTCAAACCAATTCCGACCCACTGTACCTATACTTACCTCGTGATATACCATCCCTTATCATTCCCTACTTATAACAGTGTCTGCCAGCGGGTAACGTGTACTTGTACAACACCGTAGAGACGCTCAACATCAAAGCGAAGAATTGGCATGATCTGCTGACAGACGAACCGTTCAAGCGCAGCGATATCATCACAATCCTAGACCCACAGAACCCAGAGAAACAGAACTACTCGGAATTCCACCATGTGGTGAACAAGCTTAAGGTGTGTGGTTGGGTGGGATACCTGCCAGTATATACATGTCTATATGTGTAGGTGTATGTATATCTATATCTATATCTGTATCTATATCTATATCTATATCTATATCTATACATATATATATATATATATATATAACAGCACTATGTATGTCTGGAATATGTATCAATTGTTTATTGATGTTGCATATGTTGTCAACGCGTACATTGCAAGTCCACGTAGTATCTGCCAGACTGTCCCTTCTACGCAATCTGTGTGTGCGCATACGGTAGCGCCTGCGCCTGTGCACTCGTGTTTATATTCTCCCGGAATAAGCTGGGTTCAGCCCGGATACTATTTTCTCACGTATGGAAATAAGATTTGACAAACACGCAGACACCTGTACCTCTGGGTTTTCTGTCTATTCATCCACCTTTCTTTGGCTCTACTTGGCCTGAACATAGACCGTATAACTCTGAAACTCTAAAACCCTAAAACTCTCAGGTACTCTCGGCCGAAGACAAAGAGATGCTCAGCAACCCCTCGTACAACATCAAGACCAACACCGCCGAAATCAGGAGCACACTCAGCGACTACTACAAGGACAAGACCAAGCGCGAACAAGAGACCCTCGCAAAGGCTCAGGAAGCCGTTGCAAAAGACCCCCTGGCCACTGACCGTGTGAGCACCTTCATTTCCGACAACCAGATGGCTGGGTCGTTTACCAGCACGTCGGCCGTGCGGGTGGGAACAGCCGCAGGAGCGGTGTATGACGAGGACTATGTCAGGTGTGTCCGAGTTTTAGGGTTTAACTATGTCAGGTGTGTCAGGGTTTTAGGGTTTACCTATATCAGGTGTATCAGAGGGTACTCTCCGTGTGGCACTGATCCAGACAGTCGGGTGTCTTCATAATGTGGATTGCAGTGTGAGGCAATGAGAATGTAGGTATAGAATGTAGGTATAGAGTAAAGTTATAGAATACAGTTATAGAATATAGTTATATAATATAGTTATAGAAATAGTTATAGGATATAGGTATATAATGTAGGCGTATAATGCTCACATGTGTACTTTTGCACCCACCCCACCAACCCACAGATACGGCAAGATCAAAAAGAGTGCGTACGTTCGCATCAAGACCAACAAGGGCGACATGAACATTGAGCTGTACTGTGCACTGGTGCCTAAGACATGTGAGAACTTCCTACTGCTGGCACAACAGGGCCACTACAACGGAACGGCCTTTCACCGGTCTATTAAGAACTTCATGATCCAGGGAGGCGACCCAACAGGCACCGGCAGTGGCGGAGAGAGTGCCTGGGGGGGCAGGTATGTGGTCTGATGTCTCTGGGAGTGTGTGCCTGTGTCTGTGCCTGTGCCTGTGTGTCTGTATATATTATATATATATATATATATATGTGTGTGTGTGTGTGTGTGTGTGTGTGTGTGTGTGTGTGTGTATGTATATATATATTAACTGTTAACTATTAACTATCATTTATTAACTGACTACCACCCATCCCCTACCGCCCACCCCCTCTTCTCCTGCACTAGGTTTGCTGATGAGTTCCATGCTAAGCTGTCGCATGAGGGTCGAGGCATGCTGTCTATGGCCAACAACGGAGAGGACTCCAACGGGTCGCAGTTCTTCATTACATACCGCAGCTGCAAACACCTCGACAACAAACACTCTGTCTTTGGCAAAGTGGTGGGTGGCATAGGTGAGTGCCATGGCCTGCGCTAAATGGGTTAGATGACTTACTTACCTTGTTGGACAACCTTGAGTGTGTGTAGTGGGTTAGATGAGTGTGAGTACGTGTCTATTCGTACTCGTGTACTGTGAGTGATTACGGGCGTACGGCATGGTGTGTCACATCACGATTTCATGAGCCACTAATAGCGTATGGCATGTTTGTGTGCGTCATTCACCGTCCCCATGGCAACGTATGTCTTAACAACATTCTGCGCGTACTGCTGTGTGTGTGCGCCCGAAGTAACGTGTCCCTCAGAGGCTCAGTCTACGTGCTTGTATCACTATACACCCACAGCCTCTTATGTTCTGTATGTAGGATCTGTTATGTATGAAGACGGGAATTATCAGCGGATCGACATCAGTATAAATACGATCCTTTTTTAGCCCTAAACCTTACTACGTCGTATGTGTTATTCTGTGGTGTTTGTTGGTATCAGTATCCGAATACATCTACACACTGTGCATATGCACACCCGAGTGCCCTCTCCTCTTCTCGCCTGTTCATACTCATCACTGGCGTTGTCCTTCTCTTCGCTTCGTTTCTGACGGCAGACACCCTGAGCGCACTGGAGAAGGTGCCCGTGAACGAAAAGACCCACAAACCCAAAGTAAGCTAGTGCACGTGAGATCTGTGGTTTTTTGTGTTTGTCTTTGGGCCTTATAAAGCGCCTACCAGTAGTTGTGCGTGCGGCAGAGATTAAACGCAGTATGAACCCCCTAAAATCATAAACCTCTGGATTGCTTGGCATTGCTTCTGCACTGACAGTCAGTGTTATACGAGCGCTCACTACGATATCCCTGGCACATGCTTATCCTGATGTGTAGTCGCAATCGTAGATATATCTAGATATATCTATATCTGTATCTATATCTATATGTGTGTGTGTGTGTGTGTGTGTGTGTATGTATGTATGTATGTATGTATGTATGTATAGTATATATATATATATATATATATATATATATATATA